TTGTTTTCCAAATATCATTTAATTTTCTATGTGTATTTTGTTGTGACTCCCTGACCTTTTTGAAGAGGATTATCCCAAATTCTTTCTCAGACATTTCATAAATCTGATGTTCTTCTGGGTCCATTACTGGGGCTTTGTTTCTTTCTTTTGGAGGTATCATATTTCTCTGTTCTTTCTTGATCTTTGTGTCTTAATGTTGGTGCCTGAACATTTGAGGAGACAGCTACCTCTTCTTCTAGCTTTTGCAGGTTTTCTTTGGTGCTGTTAGACCTTCACTGCTCAATATGAGAACTTTATCTTTGCCTTGCAGTTTTTCTTCATTCTGTAGAGGATTTATAGCAACCATGACCCCATAAACACTACACTGGAACTAACTTGTCCTGCCATTAATTTGCAGGCTGGGAAAGACTTGTCGTGGGAACCAAACCTTGAACACTGTGCCTGAGCTAAGTAGCTGCCTTATTGTTTCTCAGTTTGAGGAAGAGTTTTTGTGCAGACAGGAATTTAATTGTTGATCATTTAGTCATGGGAAGACAATAGGAGCAACTGGGCGGTGTGGAAAGTTTGGTCTGGTACTGAGTCTTTCCCATGGGTTGTGTTCACTATTGCACAGTGGCACTGGCTTGTCTCCACTTTACAGTGCCGGTGCTGATCGAGATGCAGGTCAGCTGCCAATATCACTCCTCAATGCATCCGTGGTGGATCAGCCCTTCTGGCACTCCAAATGTTCCCTGTGGAGCAGGACTCAGATGAGTTCCCTGCAAAGACTCACATACCACTGGGAAAATCAAACACCAACCTCTTACTCTCTCCTCTCACCTATAAGACCACAGATACAGTGGCCTTCTCTGTGTATGGTGCTATGCTGGCCTTGGGGAACAGGGATGGAGAGCTCTAAAATAATCCTTTCCTCCTGCCGGTTTCAGCCCCTCTCACCTATGTGGGCACAAGGGAACTTTGTGAGCAGCTACACTGGCTTGAGGGACGGGATGGAGCATTTTGAAGTGATTTTTCTTCTGAGTGATCATGGCACTTCTCTCCCCTGTAGGCTCCAACTAGCTTCATGTGAAAACCACTGCACCAATTTTGCAGACTCCCGGGAGCTTTTCTGGGCTCAAGGAGTGGCTGGGTCTGTTTGAAGTAATCCTTCCTCCCACCTACTGTGGCTTTCCATATCTTTGTGGGCTCAGGTGGCCTCTCCACCTTGTCTCCTGAATTCTGGTGATTTCAGGAAGGAAACTTTGTGCTTTAATTGTTGCTAGTTGATTTCTTGTGAGGGAGAGCTATGCTGGGGATTGGCTACTTGGCCATCTTAGTAATGTCACTTCTCTTTTCCTGTTTTTTTGACTCTCTGATTGTTTACCCACTAAAGGTCAGTATATTTCCTATAGTATCTCCAGGTCTTGTCAAATTACAATTCTCAGTAAATGTAAACTGATAATTAAAGAGAAATCCACTAATTTTGTGTGTCTACATTTATGAGTCACTTCACTAATTATACATTGCATCATTTAAGCATTAAAGATGTGACACATGGAGCAATCAATGTATTTAATTAGAACAAAGCAAGCTAAATTATATGCTGTGCCAGTTTTAGAGAAGTTTAACTATTTTGTGGTGAGAAAAGACAAGACCAATCCTAAACTTTTAGTTTCATTCTAACCTTGCTCATGTACAATGTTAGTGTTTGCTGAAGTATCTTTGGTGACTGCAACAAGTAACAGATGCGGGTGTGGAAAACGCAGATGTGACCAGTTCTGATGTCCACCAGCCTTCACTTCAGCACCTGAGCCTGCGGACCATCCCTCTTCTTGAAACCCTCACCTTTCTTTGCTTCATGACTGGATTTCCTGATTCCTCTCCTGCCTCTCTGGATTTTTCTTCTTTGACTTAGCTTTACCCATCCATTTCCAAAATGTGTATTTACCAAAGATTTGTCCTTGAGGCTTTTCTCTTTTCTCTCTACACTCTCTCACTTTACAATTTCTTCTGACGTCATGGCCTCATCAGGTAGCTCTGTGTGATTGTCACTCTAAGCCTTCTCACTCTCTCTTAAGTTCACATTTTTCAATTCCAACCACCTAAATATCTTGCTGCAGTCTCAAATTCAGCTGAATACACATCTCAAACCTGTTTCTTTTCCTGAAGTCCCTTTCTTTTGGAATGGAACTATCCTCCTCTAGTTATATAAAACCTCTTAATCTCCCTTCACTTTCCGCATCTAAATACTTGTGAAGATAGACTGAGTTAATCTCTGTAATCACTTTTTCACCTCTCCTTTGCTTTCTCATCCTCTGCTCTATTTACCTCAAGCTCTTGTTCCCTCAGACCCAGACATTTGGAAGATTTGGATTTCTTGGACATTTGTTCTCTCTTCCAGGGCTTGGCGATATTATGCCCTCCCAGACTCTGGAGAGAGTTTCAACTAAAAATGCATACTAATCAATAGCACTGTTGCTTTTCTCTCTTGAAAATGTCTGTCTTCCTTTTGAAATACTAACAAGGAAGAACAGAGATCTCTGTTATTCACTTTATCAAGTTCTATTCTTTCACATTAAATATTTTTATTCATTGGCTTTCAGGAAACACCAACTGTAGTATCTTAAATAGTTATTGGGGTGGCGCAATATCAAATCTTTAACCATGTTATTTTAAATCTCACATATTGTGTGTTGGAGTCCTTAATGAGCTTCTGCAAAAATTATTCTTGTAATGGTCTTTGGCAGAACCTTGAACCAAAGCTAGAGATTATGAAATAAAGCCACGGATGCCCTAAAACATCAAACATCTTTTCACTGGAAAAATTAATATATGTGGATATGTTTTAGCGACTGTTGATTCTGAGGGAAATTTCTATGTACCAAAATAATAAATAATTTCTAAAGAGAGCAAAGATAAAATTTCCATCTGCACTAAGATTATACTGAATATTTACAGTTGGAATAGACCTAGGAAAGTTTTTAAACCATTTATCTTTTAGGTAAAATAAGTTGTGTAAAAATATGCATGTCATAAAGTATGCTTTTGTTTGTTTCATGTTCTTTACGTGGGAACATATTCAAAGGCTCCCTTGTTCAAAAAAAAATCAGATTAATAGTAAGTATTTCTTTGCTGAAAATATTTTATTGGCCCCTAAGTTTACTGACAAAGGCTATAAAGGAGGTGGGGTAAAGTAGTAGGATAAAAAGGAGACAAGCTGCCATTATTAGTCAGGGTTCTCCAGAGAGACAGATCAATGGGATATGTTATAATTATATGAGAGGGATTTATTAGGGGACTTAGCTCACGCGACTATGAAGAAAAGTCCCACAATAGGCCGTCTGCAAACTGGATGCCGGTAGCATGGCTCCGTCAAAGTCCAAAGGCCTCAAAACCAGGGAAGCTGATGGTGTCCTTGATATGAATGCTGGAACTCAAAAGCTGAAGAGTCTCAAGCTCTGATGTCCACGGACAGGAGAGAAGAGTGTATCCCAGCTCCAGCAGATCGAGAGAGAGCTTCGCCTCTTTTCTCTGTCTTTTGTTCTCTCCGCACCCCCAGCGGATTGGATGGTTCTCACCCACATTGAGGGTGGGTCTTTCCCACCCAGGCCACTCAGACTCTCATACTAATCTCTGCTGGAAACACCCTCACAGAAACACCTAAAAAGATAGCTTTACCAGGTTTCTCAGCATTCCTTCATCTAACCAAGTTGACACCTAGAATTAACCTTCATGCTGCCTCTAGAGTTTCCACATGGAGAGTTATGAGGCAGGGGACTCTGAGCACAGCTCAAGCCACTGCCAAGGGTGGCAGAGAGGAGAGCATCCACAACAACAATTTAGTCCAAAGTGTTGTGATGGAGTGAGTGTTTTATACTAACTGAAAAAGGAGTAATAATAGAGAAAAGTGAAGACATCAAAGCCTTAGGGTTTGAAACATCATAATTAATTTAACCCTTGTAAGAACCCTCCCCTGCCACAACCCCAGCCCATGAGTCTGGTGACAAAGGAGTGAGTAGTTAAGTGAGGATTTAGGACCACCCTAATACAAAAGGAGAGTCCAGTGGGAGGATGAGAAAGAAAATGACACAAGAGAGATGCAAACCCCAGGATCTCCTAAATAGCCGCAGGGGCATCAAGAATGGAAGTAAAACAGGGCCGAAGAAGGAACAGTGGAGACCGGGAAAGTATACAGCAGGAGGATCATCCTCCTTTATTTGAGAAGAGAACCTTAAAGTGTGGTCTGTCCCAGGAGCCCACCAGAGCAGAAGGAAGACAGGGAACCCCTGAGGTTCCAGCAATTATGTTGAGGAACATTCTGAGCCAGAGACTCACCTTGTTGTGATCCATAGTCCCTTAACTGTATTATTCCAGACTCTGAGAAATGCTGTTTAAACTTAGAACCACAGAGTCATGGAAATTGAGACTTATAAGAAAGAGATTCCTCACACAAGTGGGAAAACTGAGCCACATAAAAGCATGGTTAAAGACATGGGCTTTGGAGTCAAATAGATCTTGTTTGAATCCAGTACAGTCTTCAACTGTGTGAATGTGGGGGAGATTGGTAGCTCTAAGCCTCAGTCTCTTTGTATATAAAATGGGGAAACCATGCCTCAGGGGGTTATGGTGGGTAAATGAGGTAATGCAGCACTTATCACCATCTGGCATGCTATATATATTAGTCTTTCTACTCCCCCTGGCACGCAAACTCCATGAAGGCAGGAATTTTTGACTGTTTTACTCCTGCTATGTATCCCCAGTGCCTAAAACAATGCCTGAAATTCACTCACAAATATATATCAAACGATTCATGTAAAGTGCTTATCATGGTGTCTGTGACTTGACAGTTGTTGGAAGTAATGACAATAATAACAACCACAGAAAGCCAAAATACGTCATTCAGGGAAACTCACATTGCCACTCACAGTTGCTGTTGTTCTAATAATTATATTGCCAAGAAATTTTAACAATTAAAAATATTCTTACTAACCAGCTTACTGAAAATGTCTTATTTTTTTCAGTGGAGAAAAAAATTTTCATATTTTTTACTACATTTACGCTGGTTTAGCAGAAAAAAAGAAACTAGCCCATTACAAATTGCCTGAAAATAAGCCTCCCAGGTAATCTACCAGATTGTAATTTTATAAATAATACTTTCACTTTCCACTTAATTTTAAATGTTTACCCTTCCTTTCATATTTTTTTTCAGGTACCTACAAAATGACCACCTCAGAACAGTACAGGACATAATGAATAATAGCTTTTATAAATCCCAGCATGAATTAATTGAGCAGTGTTTCAAAGTCATAGGATTTACAATGGAGGTAGGTATGAAATACATCTGAACCTCTTTAGGAAGTGTGTTTTTGTCATCACTAATGGTAAGAATTAGCATTTATTGAGAGATTAATATATGCCTTGCATTGTGCTAAGTGCTTTACATGAATTGAAACAACCTTATGAAATAATTATAAATGTAATACTTACTTTATAGGTGAGGGAACAGTGGCCTTGAGATATAATTGAATCTGGTTTGCTCTTAATCTTTTATTTTACTTATATGTCCATCTCCCACATATATATAAAATTTTACATAAATGCATAAATGTGATCATATTTCTTGTTCTTTTTAGTGCAGTCTTTTTTTATAACAACTTAAAGATAAAATTCACATTCCATACAATTCACCCATTTAAAATGTACATTTCGGGCCGGCCCGGTGGCGCGGCAGCGCTCCCACCGAGGGTTCGGATCCCACATACAGACCGATTCCCGCTCACTGGCTGAGCGAGGTGCGGGTGCAACACTGAGGGTTGCGATCCGTTGCCGGACACGAAAAAAGACAAAAAGGAAAAAATAAAATAAAATAAAATGTACATTTCATGACTTTTAGTATATTCACAGAATTGTGCCTCCATTACCACAGTCATTTTTAGAATATTTTCTCGTTCTAAATGTTTCAATCCAAAAAAGAAATATGGTAGCAATTAGTAGTTACTCCCTACTCCTACCTCACCCCTACTTTTTATCACTATAGGTCTGTTTATTCCGCTCATTGTGTATCCTTGACTAATAATATTTACATTTGTTTGCCAGCTGCTTGGGTTTGTTCTTTTATGAAGTATATATTTATATATGTTGCTCCTTTTTATTGAATTATTTCAGTTTTATGTCAATTTGTAATTGATAATTGAATACTACACACATATTTTCTTATTTGTGTTTTAAGTATGTTTCCAGTTTTATGACTTACTTTTTGTCATATTGTTTACTGTACACAAAATTTTTTTAATTTTTCTGTATTCAAACAAGTTTATCTTTTTGTTTTCAAGTTGGTTGAAAAGTTGCCCCGTCTCTAAATTGTACACGTAGCCTCCTAGATTTTCTTGTAAGTTTAAAAAATATTTTTTTTCTTAATCCATTTGAAATTAATTTTATGGTGTTGGATGACACATCACTTTTATTTTCTTCTAGATATAGAGCCAGTTGTACAATCACTATTATAAAACACTAAACCTTTTTCCTACTGGATTGGCTTATTATATATTAAGGCCTTACGTGACATGGAATCTGTTTCTGGTATCTCTGTTTTATCCACCAATCTATGTTTTCTATTTCTATAGCAATATTCTGCTAACTTGATTACAGTGGTTTGGTACTAAGTTTTTCTAGTAAGGCATCCTATCTAGTAAGGCAAGTCTTGCTCTCACTTTCTTCTTTTCCATATATTTTGTAGCTATTGTCTAGCATTCATTTGTCCATATAAACTTTAAGATCTACTTAATCAATTTCCAGAATCCCAGCTGGAATTCTAATTAGAATTGTATTAAATTTACATATTAATTTGGGGAGCATTGTCATTTTTATGATATTATGTCTTCTCATCTCAAATCATGGTATGTTTTTCCATTTGTTTAGATTTTGTTTTGCGTTTTTGATAATAATCTATAGTTTTATTCATCTAGAACTTATTCCTTGTTTTTAAACTTATTTCTAACAATGTTACGGGTTTTGGTCTAAATGAAATGCTTTTTCCATTGATAGAAGCTTCTGGATATATAGTCATGTCATCAGCAAAACAAATAGTTTTACCCCTTTCTTTCTATGTTATGCCAGTCATTTCTTTTTCTTTTGTGTAGAGCATCTAAAACTTAGAATATAAACCAATATTAGGTAATAATGATTATGGTTTGCCTCTCTTAATAATATCTATTATGTTGATAGATTTCTTAATGTTTAAGTATCCTTACATATCTGGAATAAACCCAGTGTAGTCAAACTGTATTACTCTTTTGATAAACTTCTGGATTCTACATGCCAGTGTTTTATTTAGAATTTTTACATTTATTTACTTATCAGTGAGATTTATCTATTGTTTTCATTTTCTTTTATGAAAATATTTCTTTTATTTGAATATTAAAGTTATGCCAGTGAGCTTTTTAATCTTTTGCGGGGGGGGGGGGCTATAAGAGCTAAAATCAGTTCCCAATGTTATCTGGAGATAAAAAGCACTTTGACATAGTGACATAGACCCTTGTACATGAGTTCTAACCAGACCTATTGTATAAGAATTTCCACAGAAGACACCTGGTAATCCCTTTCTTTTACAAGCACCCCAAGTGATTCTTACCATTAGAGAAGACTGGGGAGAATTGTTTCAAAAACTTTGAATTAGGACAAGATAAAACTGGACTGTGTATGTCTCTGCTCCTTGGGCCTTTTGATATCATCTTTAGTCACCTTTCTGATTCTTCTATGATAATTATCTATTCTAGTTTTTTTCTCTTTTTATCAAATCTGATGCCATAGATTTTCTTGCTGAATTTTCTTTTAATACTTTTAATTTTTCCTGTATTTCAGGCTTTGCTTCCTTTCTCATTCTAATCTCGTTTTTTGGCTTTGCTCTCCATTATCTTTAGTTGACCTTACAAAGAGTTTTTCAATTTAAAAAAAGAAAGAAAGAAAAAAAAGTTGTTGGATATATTTACACATCCTATAAATTTTTTCATTATCTGTATTATTGATTTCAATTATATTTTTATATTTTTATTAATTTACTCTTTTGGTTTATTTTTTCTTTTTCTTAAGGAGAATACTTGGTTCCTCTATTCATTTTTCTCACTTAATAATGAAGGTATTTAAGGCTATAAATTTAATCCTGAGTAATAAAAATTTCCTTCTGTACCATAGGCTGTATTTTTAAATTTTTATAACAAAGTATCTCATTTAGTAGGTACTTCCAAAGGCTTTTAAAGAAGTTTTCAAACTCTGTTCTTAGCAGTTTATTGTTTGCTGCGTTGATTCAGATTTTATGATAAAAGAAGACCTCATTCTAATTGTGAGTCAGGCATTTAGAGGAACTCTTTCAGTAAAGTAGTGTGCAATTTTTTGAATTTTCATTTCATTTTTATAAATGAAACTCCTGCAGCTTCAGTTAATGTATCTACTTAAGAAGTTTACTGAGATTCTCTGGGTTATAAGAGCCTACTAAGAGCTTAAGCTGAAATAATACCCAATTCTTTTCAACAAATTTAGAAAATTTTATCATCAGGATTTAAAATTTAAAGATTCTGATAGGAATGAAACTTTACAAAAATCATTTTAATTACGTGCAGTGAAGTTACTGAATCTAATCGTTTTGAAGCACTGTTGACACCCTTCTGAAATGGAAGGCTGTCCACAATAACCTTTAGTCTCATGGTGCATTTGCTCTCCAGAAAGTAATGTTTCTAAAGATGTAAGTGTTATTGGCATAGAGAAATATTTACTGCTAAGTGTATTTTCTCCAGATGTGGACATTCCGCTTTTGGCAGCTCTGAGGACAAGTAATCTCCCAGTCTTGCCTTCTCCTTAAAAGCATCTGGCTCCATGTTGGGTATCCTTGCTACAGGTCTGCAGTGGGAATATTCTCAAGACCTTGCTCCTAAGGAATGAAGAGTGATCTCTGTCAACTAGGTGAGGTTGGAGAAGGACAGAGAAATGGCTTTTCTTTTCGTTTGAAATTAGGGACCTGCCTTAAAGGGGAAGTTTAGGTAAATATGGGGTAATATTTCTCCATCAGGGTCCTAGAGGTCTTCAGTGATCCATCTCCCCAAAGCTAACATTATATCCCAGAGATGTTCCAGGCCAATATTTGATAGAACAAGAATGGAAATTGTTTTGCACAATCCTTGTAAGAATGGAAAAAGTAGAATAATGATATGACAAATTGGCTACTCTAACTTAAGAAATGAGATATCAAAATTACTATGAAATAAATTTTGTTGGGCTGGCCCGGTGGCGCACTGGATAGTGCGCCGCTTGGGAAGCGCGGCGGCGCTCCCGCCCGAGGGTTCGGATCCCACATACAGACCGGTTCCCGCTCACTGGCTGAGCGAGGCGCGGGAGCAACGCCGAGGGTTGCGGTCCCGTTGCCGGTCCCCGGTCCAGTACGGGGGCAACACTGAGGGTTGCGATCCGTTGCCGGACACGGAAAAAGACAAAAAACAAAAAAAAAGAAAAAAAAAAAAGAAATAAATTTTGTTAAATTTAACTTACAAACCAGACAGTATCTATAACAATGAATATTCGGAGTAATATGGTGTGTCATAGCCAAAGAAATGTTTTCTGTGAAACGTTTCATCTTTTAGAGTAAATTTTTCTAGTGCGGTTTTTCTCCATAACCAAGAGGAACTCATATTTGATGAAACTCATACCAGGATGCTTTTACAACCAATCCTTGAGTTCTGAATAAACCTTGCTACTCTGTTTCCAGATTGGTTGTAGGATCAGGTAGGTAAGAGAGAGGTTGAGGAGCTAGAGAGGGACCTGGAAGGCTGTTTCCAGGACCAGTCAGGATTATTAACTCCTCCTGAGACCAGAGGGGTGACTTCCCTGAACAGTTCTCAGTTTGAGCCTGAACACCACAAATTATAAAGACAGAGGGAAGCTGTACTCTAGACTCAACAGCAAGCCTAGGTTAAATGCATCCTTAGGCAAGTGCTTTAATTACAAGAAGTCCTGAGCTGAAGTTGAATAACTTTTTGGTTTGGGAATAGAGGATCCAACTTGACCATCTTCATTTCTGAATGATGCATTCTCTCCTTTGATTCATGGACCCTACTGGAACTTTTGCACTCTATAACTACTAAACCGTAGCTATAGTCTGAAAACTCAAGTCCTGTGGTCTCTAGGGCAGAAAGGAGATGACTGGGCCTTTCTCTTTGTTTCATTAAATACCTTTTAGGCTATAGAAGGGAACAAAAATTCATTCCTTAAGATCTCTCTGAAGAGATTTGCTCTTAGCTGTAAATTGTTACTGTCAAGAACTCTTTCCAATAAGATA